CTAACCTTTTGGGATTGGCTCATTTCCCTTAGCATTATGGTTTCCGGTTGGGCCCATTTGGCCACAAAGAACCACATTTTGTTTTTTTTAATAGCTGAGTAGTATTCCATGGAGTAGATGAACCATAGCTTTCTTAATTTCATTTTTAGTAGGTTACTTTTTGGGTTTCCTCCTACTTCCACCAGTTAGTGGTTCTTCCTATTTTCAACTGTTTGATTAATTTAATCTTCATTGATAAATGGCAAAAACGTTATAGGAACAATTGTATTGTTTATGCTAATGATTGTAGCCATAACTATCATTGTTCATCGTTTCTAATATTTATTTTAACTTCAAATTCCATTTTGTCTGCTTTGGATAGTACCCCTACATTTTTATTGTTTTAGTATTTGATTAATTTTTAATTTCTTATCATTGACCATTAATCCTTCTGTAACATTATACTTGGTGAGTTTAACTTAGGATTGTTTTTGTGTATATTAGGTTTTTAAATCTATTTTGAGATCTCTGCATTTTAATAGGGGCATTAATGCATTCATATTCATTTCCTTTTTTAGGACATTTGCTTTTATATTCACTATCTTATTTTATATACTTTGAAAATTTCCTACACTAAAATTTTTGCTTTTGCTTTTAAAGACTTGTTGAGTTAATGAAAAATTTTCTTTTTTCTAATCATTTAGAATTTTTGCAATTTATAATGTTTAAAAATCACTACTTATAGTAATATACGTATAAGCAACACTTTCTCTGTCAATGTCTAGAAATAATATCAGTGTCCTATTTCCAAAGATGAAATTTGTCATAACATGAATTTCACTGGACAAATTTTCTTGAATAATAATTCTGTTTACATGAAAAAGATCACTAAAACATTATAGCATGCATATTTTTTACAGATTTATTTAGTTTTAGAGTAGAGTGAGATTTACAGAGAGAAAAGACAGAGAAAGATCTTCCATCTGCTGATCCACTTCCCAAGTGGCTGCAATGGCTGAAGATGATCTAATCCAAAGCCAGGATCCAAGAGCTTTCTCCAGGTCTCTCACATGTGTACAGAGTCCCAAGGCTTTGAGTCATCCTCCACTGCTTTCCCAAGCCACAAGTAGGGGGCCAGAGGGGAAGTGAAGCAATTAGGACATGAACCAGTGCCCACACAAGTTCCCAGCACATGCAAGGCAAGAACCCCAGCCACCAGGCTACAGCGCCAGGCCCAAGAGCAGATAAAATTTTTGCATTATTAAATATTAATGAATAACAAAATAAAGTACAAATAGTCCATTATAGATCAGTTTTGTTTTTTAAGATTTATTTATTCATTACAGATCATTTTTAAAGTACTCTGTAAGAACTATTATTAAGTACTGTTTTAGCATTTGTTTTCCAAATGTTTGTTTGCCTGCACTCCGAATCATTAACTTTTATATAAATATCAATTATTATTGTCTTTAGGATACTACTATCCCTGGTAAAGCATACATATTCAATTCTGGCATAGCTTCTTTAATTCAGTGAATTTCTACAATTGTATTTAATATTCATGTATTTTCTGAAAAGCTGGCCCAATAATCATTACTTCTGAAATGGTGGAATGCGTGTATAAACTGAATATGAATATGAGCTTTGTCACATCTACACTGTAAGATGTGAACTTAATATTTACATAAGGATTTACTAAAAGTATTTACAATATAAAAGCTATAAGTACGCATTTCCATTCCATTACTTATTATAATAGTTATACTAAGGAACTATCAAGAAATTTCAAATAAGTAAAAAAAAAAAAGTCATGTCAAGGGACCTGGATCAGTCATCAATCTCCTCTTTACACAATACAGTTCCATTCTTTCTTATTGTAAAAATTAATTTATTTTTATTAGAAAGGTAGATTTGCAAAGAGTAGATGAGACAAGAAAAAGATCTTCCATCTGCCCTCTACTTCTTTCCCAGGCTATTAACAGGGAGCTAGATGGGAAGTGGAACAGCCAGGACACAAACCAGTGTATGCAAAGCAAGGATTTAGCCAAGTACCCATTGCATGGAGGCCCTACTGTTCCATTCTTAATACTTCCTTCTTCAAGACCCAGTGTTTGTAAATAGGCTTCTGTAGGTTGAATTGGATGATTCTTCAGACAATAAGGGTGGAATGGTAGGAATTAGAAATAAGTTGGGAACTGAATGGAACGAATAAATTTACATTTCATCTGGAATTCACAAGTGGAAACTGGGCTCTGAAGGACTTGAATTTAAATTCTGGAAATACAGAAAATTGACATTTTAGGATGCATAAGTTTTCCATTTTTAGGAAGTAGAGTTGCTTAATGTTTCTTAGAAATATTCATTTGAATTCTTTCACAGTTGTTCCATGTGCATGTCCTCAGTTTTATCTACTGGATAATAGTGTTCCGATGGTTGTGTCGTATCTTTTACTTCTTCCTTATTTACTCCTGATTTTCTTTTGCCCCTTGCAGATCACTACACATGTGCACAAGTAAAGGCTGATTCCAGACTCTGTAGGGTGTATTTGTCTAGGAAAGCACTTCGTCAGACGTCATGTACAGGTTTTGGATCATGTGTACTTGGTTAGTGCAAGAACCTGACTCCACAGGGGCAAGACATGCGCTGGGATCTATTCTTATAGAATGGCTCCAGAGGTGATGAAACAGAGCCCCAATAGACCAGGTAGTGTGGGTGGAGCCATGAAGAATGGTTTGAGACCAGAAAGACCCACCACTGGTGTTTTATAACCAACTTAGCTTGAACCAAGGCATGCAGGAACCTGCCTGGTGCTGCAGCACACAGAGGGCCTCATTTTGCAGATGCTAAACTAGAATGTAGGGCTGTCAGAGCCTACTGGCACTGTGTTTTTCTGAGATGGTTCCAATTAGTGTGAGACTACTTTCAGGGCTCACTTTTCACTCCTCCTGTTAAATGGAGTGTGTCTCATTCCATGCTCTGCACCTGGATTTAGGGGTATGGTGGCAAAGATAAACTGAGACTGTCCATTCCAGCCACATCACAGTCTTCTCTAATTGCATACTGTGGGCAAAGACGACACTCTCACGTATGGATTCCTTAGCTTTGTAAAGGCATGCAATGTAAAGATACCTCATGCTGATTCTGCAGATTCTGTACTAGAGCCACATTCCAGACACTTGCTCAACCCCTCCACCCCTTATAATTCTACCTGTGTGTAATTCTGAATGACAAAAATCAGACATGGAAAGCTAATATTTAATAGCATGGAGGAAAGGAAGCCACTCCATAGATGTGGCCAGAGTATATTCCTTTATGATTATGAATGTTTTCTACAGTTGATTACTATGGTGTTCATGTGAATACTACGGAAAACACCGTCACATAGAATAGACAACATTGAAATCTAAGCAAATGTAGCTTATTGTGTCAATGTCCATTTCAGGATCTTGATAATATTTCCATTCACTTCACAGCAGTTTAGAATGGCTGTCTTCCGCAAAAGATTGCATAGATAGATAGATAGATAGATAGATAGATAGATAGATAGATAGATAAATGCTGGCAATAATGTGCTTGGGATAAAGATACCATAGGTTATTATTGGGAATGTAAACTTGTACAGTAATTATGGACAACAGCATTGGAGATTCTTCAGAGATTTGAAATAGTTGTAGTAGCTGACTACCCATCTTGCTCCAGCAAATTTGTGCAAACAAGCAATGAGCATGTGGAAGAGTATTTGTATCGCCGTGTTGACTGCAGCTCTATTCTCAATAGCTAAACTCTGGAATGTGGCCAGATGCCCATTAATCGGTACCTGGATAATCAAAAATTTTGGCCTGGCGTGTTAGCTCACTGGCTAAATTCTTTGCAAGTGCTGGGATGCCATATGGGTAAATATTCGAGTTCCAGCTGATCTACTTCCCATCCAGCTCCGTGCTTGTGGCCTGGGAAAGCAGCCGAGGACAGCCCAAAGCCCGGGGACCCTGCAACCATGAGGGAGACCTGAAAAAAGCTCCTGGCTCTTGGCTTAGGATGGGCTCACTCCCAGCCTTTGATCCACTTGAGGAGCAAACCAACTGGTGGAAGACTTTTCTCTCTGTCTCTCCTTTGGTCCATGTAACTTTTCTCTCTGTCTCTCCTTCGGCCTTTCCAGTAAAAATTACATTGTTAAAAAAATGTGCAAAAAAAAGCATGTGTGTGTGAGTTGACATAGTGTGTATCATTGAATCAAGAAAACAATGGATTCCAGTAACTGACAGAGAACATAAAGGACCATAATTTATCATCAATATGTGTTTGTACATATTGTTTATTAGTCGGTCTTAAAAAAAATGAAATCAGAAATTTGATGGAAAACATTTGTGACCATAATGAATGATTATATGCATCATATTGCCATTGGAGACCAAACCAAAAGGCAGCTTGAATTCATTGGGCCTTTTCTCAAATTACTGTTTATTTAAAACTTCTTCATGTGGAAACGGTTGAGAACAGACATGAGGAAATACAAGCGGGCTGTTGGAACAGACCGCCCGGAGCCCTTACCCACAGTGCTCAGCGCGGGGCATCAGGGCCTTCTGACATCCGGGACTTGGAGCCTTGGCTGGCAGCAGCCTCAATGATGGCGGCTGAGGCTGACTGACAGGAATTGTGTGAGGCCCAAGATCAGACCAGTTCCCATCGGGCGGTGTTGGCGGCCCTGTGGTCTAACTGGCTCCGCACCCTTTGCCCAGGGTATCTCCACGGAGGAGAGGCAGCACAGCTGCCCAGAAACCAGTGGCACAGCCGCCAAACCGCCCCTTCAGCCTCGGCCGTCTGCCCACCGGGCCAAGGAAAGCACTGTGAGCCTTGGTGGCCGGGCTGGTCAGCGCCATCTGGGCACTGAGCCAGCGAGAAAGGCGTCGTTCTCCACTGGCCTCTGTCTGCCTTCCGCCTCAGCCTCGCCTCTGCCTGGGCACCCCTGGTGCCCATGAACCTCCCCTCCGTGCCCTGAGCTCTGTTGCCATCAGCCCGTCACAATGGCCAGCAGCAGCAGCAGCAGCAGCAACAATATGAGAGGACTCATTGTGGGAAGAAGGTACCAACTGGTAAGGAAGATCGGGTCAGGCTCCTTCGGGGACATTTATCTCTCGGTTGACATCACTAACGGCCAGGAAGTGGCGGTCAAGTTAGAATCCAGGAGGGCCAAGCAACCCATCCTGCAGTTCGAGAGCAGGTGCTACAGGATTCTGGAGGGCGGAGTGGGCATCCCCCGCGTAAGGTGGTGTGGTCTGGAAAAAGGCTACAATGCCCTGGTCATGGACCTGCTGGGACCCAGCCTGGAAGACCGCTTCAATTTCTGCTCCCGGAAGTTCACCATGAAAACCGTACTTTTGCTGGCTGACCAGATGATCAGCAGAATTGAATACGTGCACAGCAAGGATTTTATACACCGAGACATCAAGCCACAGAACTTCCTCTTGGGCAGGGGACGTCAGAAGAACAAGCTCTTCCTGATTGACTTTGGATTGGCCAAAAGGTACCGCTCCAGCCGCACAGGGCAACACATTCCCTATAGAGAATACGCGTCCCTCACCGGCACTCCCCGATATGCCAGCATCAATGCCCATCTTGGTATTGAGCAGAGTCGCCGAGATGACCTGGAGTCCTTAGGATACGTCTTGATGTATTTCAACACCAGCAAGCTGCCGTGGCAGGCCCTGAAAGGTCCCACAAAGAAACAGCGCAGCGAAATGCTCACTGAAGTGAAGATGAACACTCCTGTGGACGTGTTATGCAAGGGCTTTCCCGCAGAGTTCGCCACTTACTTGAAATACTGTCGGGAGCTGACCTTTGACGAAACTCCAGACTACACCTATCTCAAGCAGCTCTTCCGCAACCTTTTAGAGACCCTGGGTGACCCAAGTGACTGCACATTTGACTGGACAGTGTTGGAGCAGAGAGCAGCCCAGCAGGCAGGTTCTTGTGCTGGGCAGGGTCAACAGTCACAGCCACCCCCCGATTTTCAAGCATGACCTGTGTGTCCGAAGGAGCAGAGCAGGTGGCAGGAGCAGCATTGGAGTCCCTCCAAAACTAGCCTTTTCAGGGCATATGTACACATTCACCTGTGCTTGGGGCAGCACTTACTGGTGTTAAAAGCTTAACTTCATTGCAAACTGGCTCTGCAGTATTGGTGCTTTTGTGTTGGGAGTTGTAATCTCTGCTTTGTGAATCTCAACTGAAAGAGTGAGTAGTGTGGCATACGATTTTCTCTTCTGTTTACCAAGTTGGAGAGTTAGCTAAGTGCTCAACATAGGCAAATGGGTTAGAAATTTTGATGTAACTTTTTTTTTGTAAGCTCTAAAGCTCTTTTATTCTGAAGTACACTGCTTTGAAATCTCATTTTGCAAGGAAGGAATGGAGCATCTGCAGCCACAGCTGTAGAGATTGTAAATGTACACCGTTGTGCATTCTTAGCGATGTTCCTCTACCTTAGGAGTTCCCAAGTTGTTCACTGAAACCATTCTTAACCTGCTCAGCTTCTGGGTTGGAAGGCTGATGACAGAGTAGCAAGGTCCCCGTGTTTGAACACATGAATGAGGACCTGCTTACCTGCGCTCGAAAGAGCAACAGCTGAGGTTGAGCCTTTCCTTACTTCATCCTTAGAGTACAGCTAGGCTGGTGATGAGTTTTCCAAATTTGTAGTCATAAGATATTCATTTATTCTAGTAAAACCTGGGAGTCACCAAGGACTTCCCGGTCATTATTAATTAACCCTTTTCAGGAGAGTGTTTTCAGATAAAATCATTCCATAGGTAGTCACCTTCTTTCACTTTCCGTTTTTAAAATGTGCTTGTGGATCTTTCTAGTTATGCGTTTTAAAAGTGTGTTCCTTTTTTGCTGATGGAGTAACATTAGATGAATGTATGCTTTGGTAATCGTTACTACTTAGAGACAATTTATTCTATTCAGGATTATAAGTGACTGCATTAAGGATGCTGACAGTGGTCGTCAGCTGTTGTGAATTGTAATTTTCATCTTATTGAGGGAGGACCCTTGGAGAGCAGCTTCTTTTCTTCTTGTCAGTATTAAAAAGGTCCAGTGGAGGGCCCGTTTAGCAGTCAGTGGTTGAAACGCCATGTGTCCTAATGGTGGCATTGCGTCCTAGCCTGTGTACACTGGTTTAAAAATGTACTGAAAGAATAAACAGATTAGAATTAATGTCAGTGTGTAAATTTAAATCTTTGTCAAAGCATTTGTTAGGAATAATGTACCACTGTAGTTTTAACAATCTGTTTTCAAATTTCTTGTATGCAGGTAAAATAAACATGTCTTCATTGCATTATTGTGTTTAGACCTGATCTTTATTCCCACTGACTTAATGTCTTCTACACTACTTGTTAAAATGTTCATGTAGTGAAGCATTAAGTCTTTGATGATAATGCAAATTAAAAATATTGCAAAAATGAAATGGGAATGTAAGAAAATATTTCCATGGATGTATCATTTCAACATTTCAAACGAGTATCCCTTTACCTTCTGTTTTGCATTTTTTTCCAATGAAAATACATTTAGCATAGATACAAACTTACACAATTAAACTTTTGGCAAAAGGACATGTACGTGAACATGTGGAGCACAACTGAGAGCCTGGAAATTAGCTCTGCATGTACATGGCCACTTAAGTTTTAAAATAGTACCGTTTCACTGAGTGCACAAAGTATACTTATCAAGCACTAGGTCTGAGACACACACTTGACTCTCCTTGAGGAAGGGAAAACCATCATTAACTCACGCCATTGCAAAACTTAACTGAAAATGGGTGATGCATCTAAATGTTAGTTCCTTAAGGTGAGAAAGCATAGAACAGATCATGTTCTTGGATTGGGATTCTCAAATATGTTTCATATGCAATACCAAGCAAAAAACATATGCACAAATATAGGAATTAGAATTTAAGAAAGATAATATTTCTGTTCTTTGAAAGACAGTATTCAGAGCTTTAATGGTAAATTTAAGCAGGAAGAGATGATTGTGCCTGAGGGATAAAGAGGCAGAAATGCAGAAACGTATAGATGCTCGATAGAAATACGTCACACAGGTTAAGTGTGATGTACTGTGCTCAGAGAATTGTTTGTTGACTAGTTGTCTCCAAAGAATGTACAGAAATGCAGAAGACCACGTAGAGTCACAGCACATTTTAAAGGTGGAAAAGTGGAAGGTTTGCTACTGTCAGTCTAAGACCCAGGACCAAAGAACACATTTCCTGGACTCAGCGCAGTAGCCTAGAGGTCAAAGTCCTCACCTTGAACACCCTGGAATATCATAGGTGCACTGGTTCTAATCCCAGCAGCCTCCCTTCCTCTCTAGCTCTGTTTCTGCCTCGAGTTGAGGAGTTGAGGATGGCCCAAAACCTTGGGACTCTGTATCCACATGGGAGACCTGGAAGAGCTCTTGGCTGCTGGCTTCAGAATGGCACAGCTCCGGACATTGTAGTCACCTGGTAGACAATCATTGGATGGAAGATCTTCCTCTCTGTCTCTCCTCGTCTGTATATATCTGACTTTGCAATTTTAAAAAAGTAACTCTTTAAGAAGCCAAAAGAATACTTTTCCCATAGCTGTGCCTGTAGGAGATGGCAACAGCTTTTCAGGCTCAAGGACCTTAATATCAAAATCCGTTCCAAGAATGCAGATGTATGAATGACGTTATAACACTTATTAATAGTGGTAGATACAACATATATATGTATATATTTATAAAACACATACAATATGTAATATATATTTTATAAATGTGCAATATATATTTTGTACTTTACAAATGTGTAAATATGTAAAATATGAATAAATATAAATAAAATATTTATAAAATATTATGGAATACATTGGTAACAGTTGTGGATGGAAATACAAATTTTGACAAAGCATTGATATTTAAGAAAATAATAAGATCTGTGAAAATTAACAAAGATATAAAATTGAAATTATAAGAAAAATATATATTTTTAAAAAGTTCATGAAGGTCATGAAGTAATTGATGAAATACATGCAGTTGTAAATGTGTTCATTTCTAGGAATTAGCATAGTCACTGAAGATAGGATATCGTTCGTTTAAGGTGAATTTTGTAAAATCAATAATCAACTGCTAACCGTTATCCAAAACAGAAATAGGAAAGGTGAATTGAGGATATGCATGAATATGAGAGCAGTTTTCAACAAGGAATGTATAACTGAAGGAATACAGTATAAATAATATCAATGAAAAATAAATAGAAGTACTGTCCATTTAAGAGGAAGTATATTAAGAATTTTGCCGCAAAGCAGGCATCAATACCAGGTTCATATTTGACCCTAAGAAAACCATGTATTCACTGAAAATCAGCACAATAGTTACTTAAACCATCTAATTACACAACCAAGAATATGTAAATTTCTTGCCTGCCATGTGCTTCTATTTGTATCAATACCTACATCTATGTATAAGATACTATTGCGACACAGATATGTCTTTTCCTTATATGCGTCATATAGCTACCTTTGTAGTATAATTCTTCAGTGGGCAATTACGGTTTAGCTCAAATGTCATATAAAACCTAAAATATTTGCTATTTCTTGCATTATCATAATGTTTTCCTTTTGAAATACACGATGTTCTCTAAAGGCAAATGCAGTGAAGTTAACACTGAGTTATCAAAAAATCCTAAACTTATGGATGTAATAACATGTAATACATGTAATAACATGTTAAATCATATAATCTACATTATCTTCTTCAAAATAGAGAGTTGTGAGGAAGGAATCGCCCAGGAGTTGGGTAGTCAAATCCAAAGAGGAATGCGAGGTTAAGTAGCGGTCATCTAGGACTGTATAAGATCCTTTGCTCTTTGAGCAAGTTATGGATTCTGGTTCTGGAGCATCATTTCAATTCTGAGAGGAATGAATAGAGTCCCACAGCTAAAAGGCAAAATGCTCAGTAGGTTTGTCATCATCTATCTGTGTCTAGAGGTGGAAAGAGTGCAGTTAGGCTCCAACACACCATACGTAATACTAGGGAGAAAATTGCTCTTCTTCCTCTGGTCCAGACCCCTAGATTCTTGAAAGGAGCTTCCAGTTAAGGAATGGTCATTTTTCCACAGCTGTATTCCCTGAAAAACTTGCATCTCCCACTGAAATCCACAGTCTAGATGGGAGGCCATCATCCAGCAGAATCTCAAGGCCAACCGTGAAAGTCATCACGAACATTCACAGGGGTCACTCTTCATCAGCACAAGCCTGAAAATGCACAGTACTAAAAGAAGCATACTCTCTGTGTACAATGCAATTAAGAAAGAGAGAGAGAGAGAGAGAGAGAGAGAGAGAGAGAGAGAGAGAGAGAGAAAGAGAGAATCTGATGAAGAGTGCTGAGGCTCCATCATCTCAAATCAGGACAGTGAAAACAATGAGTAGTGAACACTAGAATCCACATGCTAAAGAGATGGCATGTCAGTTTTCAATTCCATTTTGAACACCATATTACAAAAAAAAAAGTTAATTTTTTAAAAAATTGATTAAAGAAAAAAATGAATCATTGAATGACCCTCTTTTTTTTTAATTATAAACTTCAATGATATCTTCTTCCTGCATGCCCAGTTCTGTTGCAGTATGATTATCAACAATTTTCTGACCTTAGAAAGAAAGCTTAGTGACTTCTTGGAACACCCTGTGTTTGATAGACTGATTCTTTCAGCTTCTTGAGATGTATTGTGATCTTTACTTTAAAGTGACTCACTACTGTCCAATACCTGAGTTTAATACATCTACCTTCTTCCTTACGCCCTAGTCCTCAGATGCAGGTGTTGCCTGATGGTCAGACTTGGTGATGATGGCTTTCCCTGGGTGAAGTCCAATATCCAAGCTCTTAGCATCAGTCCTACTCTTCCTCAGCAGCCATTATGGATACATTGTAGTGAGCCAGTCATTGGAAGAAAAGAAAGACAAAATTTTGCATAATCACTAAGGCTGACAACATAGTTCACAATATAATGAGGACAGTA